GTGTGTGTGTGTGTGTGTGTGTGTGTGTGTGTGTGTGTGTGTGTCTGTGTCTGTCTGTCTGAAGCAGCTACTGGGACATGCTAGGTGTAGAATAAAATGTCATCCTAAGGAAGAGAGATTGAATTTGGGATTTTAATAATCTTATTTATTTTTTTTCCCAAAGAATCAAGAGTTAAGGGACCCCAGGGGCCATCTTATCAAACAATACAGAATAAATAGCTGTGGCATCTTTGGCACATGGTCACCCACCTCTGTTCAAGCACTCTAGTGATTGGTATATAGCTTGGTCTGTGGTAAACTTTGTTTTTCCTCCTCAGCTTGCAGAAGGAGCAAATGCTGCTTATTTGCAGTTGCTGAACCTGTTTGCCTATGGAACATACCCAGATTATATAGGTGAGTTGATTAAGATCCTTCAAAAGACTTAACTATGTCGATCCATTTGGAGGATGATAGAGGTTCTAGATAAAATGTTGCTTGTGTTTTTTGGGAGAATTTTTGATAGGGCTGTTATCATGTTACTGCAGGTGACCTCACAAAAGGGATTTTCCTTCTCACTTTTTATTTTCCATCAGGTAAAATAGGGGCTGTGTGTATGCACATCCATAAACAAAGCCCTTGTTTATCTTCCAGGTGAGATTCTTGAGACCTAGTGTTCATAAAGTATCAGAATACCCACTTGTAAAATATTTCATTGTTTTAAATATTATTAAAATAACATATTGAAGAATGTTTGAAAAATAGATTTTAAAAGTAACTTACAGTTGTACCTCCATTAAATTACTGGTAGCTTTTTAGTGCTGGACTTGTTTCCCATTATGCTTGAATGTTCTATTCATCGGTGTAATTAGATTTATATATATATATATATATATATATATATATATATATATATATATATATACACACACAATTTCATATTTTTGACTTCATTTGCTACACAAGTCTTCATTTGCATATATATATTTGCATATATATATGCAAATGAAGTCAAAATATGAAATTTATACTTTATTTATTTATTGGTACTGGAGATTGAACCCAAGGATGCTTTATCATTGAATTAATTCCCATCCCCTTTTATTTTGAGACAGGGTCTCTCTAAATTGTCCAAGTTGCCCAGATTGGCATGCAATTTTCCTGCCTCAGGCTCCTGAGTTGCTGGGATTGTAGAAGTGCACCACTGTACGTGGATTTACTCAATTTTAACATCTCACAATCTCCTATTCTACCACAAAGATACATCCCCACTCCATTTGAGTCGTTTTTAAATTAGAATCTTAAGTTTCAGGAATAAGGGACTTGCATATCCAAATGCTTTCTTGTCTTATACCCAAACCACTTTTTTTTCTCCTGGATTTCCTTTCCTTTTTCTTCCTTCCTCTTCCCTTCTCTCCCCCCCTTGCATCCTCCCATTCTTCCTCTCTCCTTCTCTTTTTTGCTTGCTTTTTTTCCACATGAAAGTAGACTGACACTCAGCTGTTTTCTACTTTATCCTCCACTTTCCCTCCTTTCTCATTGGTCATTTCTCCTTATTCTGTGCTGCTGTCAGACTGAACAGTTTGCCACTTCTTGGTACACCACATTTTTCTAATCTCTTTTGTTCCAATGAATGTGTCCTGTTTCTGTCCTCACTTACTAAGGAGGCAGCATTGTAGACTCTGGAAGCAGACTGCCTATATTCTAACTCTACTTCTGCTAGTTTTGTGTTCTCCAGCAAATGAAGTAATCTTATGTGCCTCAGTTTTCTTAGTTGTAAAATGAGAGTAACAATACAAGTCCATGATCCCTTACTTGCACTTCTTGAGGCTAGATGTTTTAACAGTTTAGAATTTGGTGGACTTTGAAAAGGTAATATGTGTTTGCCTTTTCATGTAACATTCTAAGAAGGATGTGGGCAGCATCTGTATTTGAACATATCCATAATTTTGCAACAAAATAAGTAAATATTCACAACAAGTGAGATAAAAGCCAGCCTCAGTTCAGTCCTGTCTTTAGGACAGGAACTGCCACCACATGAATTTCAGCACCCTGCTTAAGAAAAAAGCAATCAGTTTGGGTTCAGCTTTTTGAAATCCAGAATTATGTAAAGGGATTGAGGACATTTGGAATCCGTCTTGGGTTTGTTATGATAACTGGATGTTTGCCTGTGTGCCTGCGTGTGTGTGTGCTGTATGTGTGTGTGCTGTATGTCATCTGCAGCTACTGCCCTCCTCGATTGCTGCTGTGATTCTTATTATTACTAAAGTTTTGCTTATCTCTCAAGGCTCATCTCAAAAAAACACTCCATCTTTTCCATGAAGCCTGCCTTTCTCTCTCTTCTATACCTCCCAGATGAGATTGTTTTCACTGTCCCCTTCTCTCCCCCCCTCCTCCTCTATCCCTTCTCCCCCTCTTTTTGTCTATTCCTCCCTCTCCCCTTTTCTCTTGGAAGTTTGTATCCTTCTGGTAGCTCTGCTTTGCATTTGTAGCTAGTGAAACATTGAATTATAAGACTGAGGATAAGTCCAGGGCCAAAGAGTTGCACAGCAGTAGGTGTTTGGAGCTCCTGAAGTTGTGTGGTGCAGCAGCCTTGACAAAGCCCATCTTATTCATCCTTGATTTCTCTTAAGACAGCACCTTGCATAGAACAGATGCTCATTGAAGATATGTTGAACTTAAAATGAGTGTCACAATACAGACAGTATTCCATTAAGATAATTCCACTTAAGAAGATTTTGTTTGTTCGTGCCTGGCTTTTTAGGACACTAAACTCCTTGTGTTTAGAGACTGGTCTTTCCTTTTTTGGAAGCATGTTGTCTTTCAGAGAGGATGGGAGGTGCTTATAGAATGTTTGCCCAGTGAATAAATGCAGAGGCATGATAGTGATTTAGTAGTACAATTGGTGGGGAGTTGATGAGCTTATTCCATAAAATATCCTAATTTTATTTTGTGTCTTGGTTTTTGTGGTGGGTGGGACTGAGCAGCCAACAAGGAGAGCCTGCCAGAACTGAGTGCAGCTCAGCAGAACAAGCTGAAACATCTTACCATCGTGAGCTTGGCATCAAGAATGAAGGTACAGTCCCAGCTCCTCCCCTGCCTTCCTCCATATCCCAAGTCAGGTGTCTCCTTGGCATCAATGAGGGAACTCCTACCTACTCACAGTAGAGTTGTATCCTAAATACATAAAATTTACTTGGCAAAGAGGAAAAGGTGACAAGGTGGCATAAACAGTTACTCCTCATTCCTGTGTTCAGGAAAAACATGTCCTGCAGGGGCTGAATCACCAGGTCTTGTTCTGGCATGCCATGGGTCCTCACATGAACTGAGCATTTTGGCATGTTAAAGGGAGACTGCTGTTGAAAGATACATATTTTTCAAATGGCAGGGTATCTTGCGGCAAGTTAACAACTTCTTCTGTTGCTCAGTGCACAGTGAACTATACCCATGTTGGAGGAAGATCTTGGTATATTGGATTTACTGAGAGTGAGTGTGTCCCCCCCACCCCCGTGTTGAGGATTAAACCTGCAGTCTTGCCCATATTTTGCAAATACCACTGAGCCATACCCCCAGCCTTTTTTATTATTATTATTTTCAAGGTTATTATTCTAATTGGAATTTTTGCCTCTTATGCTAATTTTACATTCTATCCTTCTGTAAGATTTCATTCCATCATACTTTGGAGTTCTGTGCTCCAGTGGATTTAGAAGAAGCCTTGCAGCCGTGTGCTCCCAGCCATTAATAAAGACAGTCCAGACTCAGTTAATTTATAGTTGACTTGGATTCTTTGCCTAGCCTCCTAAGTTTTTGTGGGAATATGCTTTTGAAAAAGTTTGATTTTTGATTGCACTTGAGATATGTATGTGTTCTTGGGCTGCTGTTTCAGTTGCTGAAATTATTTTACCTGATCTATTCACAAATTTCTGAAACTCATTTTAAGTAGAAGGCTCTCCCCCTACCCCCATCCCTTTTGGTGGTGCAGAGGATTGAACTCAGGGCCTTGTGCACACTAGGCTTGCGCTCTATCACTGAACTATATCACCAACACAGTGGGTCCAACTTTGGGAAATGAAGACCTGACCTTTTTCTAGTCCTGCACATGGACTTCTCGAGTGTTATAAGGGTAGGATGACTTTTCTTCCTTCTGCAGCCTATTATTGTAAGCCCAGCCATCACCCCTGGATAGCATGCCCTTAGCCATGGAGCGCCCTTCTAGATGTGTTTGCTGTATTTTTTTTTTTTTTTGTGTGTGTGTGTGTGTGTGCTCTTTCTTTTCTTTGTGTCTACAAATTTGATTTCTGTATTTTATTTCCAAACTGTAGTAATGTGGCAGGATTTGCAGAAAACTGGGTATTTATATATTGTCAAGACCTTGCATGCAGTATATTGGTACAATCCAATGAAGGATTTGTTGGGGATTTGCATTGGTTGCAAAAATCTGAGAAAACAGATACAGACCTTAAGGTGCCATCTTTGCTGGCTGTCTTCACTGGCCACTTGTAGGAATAAGTGATGGCCTGCACATTTTTTTTTTGCTATAGCATTTTGCTGGGCAAGCAGCCAGTTCTCTCCAGGGCCTGGGATCTCTTGGAGGTTTATGATAATCTGGCATTGTATGCAAAATATGCAAGCTTCTGGAAGGTGGCAGTGTGGCACACACTGTTTCCTTTTTCTCTGAAAGGCATCTTTCACACCCTGTGCTCCAGGGTGTGAAAATTGAAGTCTGGGTGAAGTCTAGGATGTAAAGAATAAAGAGGGCACCTTCTTGGATGCCATAGGGTCTTGTTACAGGTCCTGTGATTCATTCATCTACTTTTGTTGCCTTAGACATGAATGATTATCACTGACCTGCATCACCTGAGCCCAAAATTTGCTGTTGTCTATGTGGGTAATGCCCACATTTTCATTAATGCTTGCCAGATGGTTTTTATAACTATCACATGGCCTTATCCACAGTGTATTCCCTACTCTGTGCTGCTGAAGGATCTGGAAATGAGGAATCTCCGAGAATTAGAAGACCTCATCATAGAGGCTGTCTACACTGACATCATCCAGGGCAAGCTGGACCAGCGAAATCAGCTGCTAGAGGTGGATTTCTGCATTGGCCGTGACATCCGCAAGAAGGATATCAATAATATTGTCAAGACCTTGCATGAATGGTAAAGCTGAAATGAGGAGGGGGATAGCTAGCTTGTCCTTTGTGCATCTACATGCAAAAATGTGATCACCAGGAGTCAGCTGAGGGCTTGGGGTGAACCAGATAGTGAGCTGCATTTGTGATTACAAATATGTGGCAACAGGAATCATTTCACTCATTTCACTTGTACGATTGTTCTTGCCTTAAATGCAGCCGAGGGTTATTTAACAGTGGGCTCTAAAATATCCAGACCTAGCAGGTAGAACTTCACATCCTAGTTATTGGATGCCAGTCCTATACTTTGCAGATGTAGACTCAAAGTTTGGCCAAGATCAGAAAGTTTTTTGTAAGTTGTTTTTTTTTTGGGGGGGGGGGATAAGAAACCTTTGTTCAGTGTCAGTAACATTGGGCTGGTGTTTGTGAAACACTGTAAGGGATAAGTAATGGGTGGTTCTAATTTGGAACACAGCCTCATGCAGAATATTTGATAACTATATCCTGATATATAAAAAGAATTGGGACATTTGTATATTCTCAATGAAATGTGATATTTGCAAGAGCTGTTACACATTCTACAAGGATTTGTTGTGGAGTTATTTAAATGATTTAGGGCTTATAAAGCTAGGTAGACTTAAGAGAAGTTTTAGTGAGCTTTGAAGGAGGGCCAGGAGTAGAGTAGAATTTGAGGTGAGTGGAGAATGCAAGCAGGCAGGCTTCATGCAGAGGGACAGGCAAATTGTTTTCTTTAAAACCAATGATCTCTATTTTATCCCCTGGAGTCTTTTCAGGGATGAATGGC